AAACAATTTCAACTATTTTTAATCCCACCACTGATCAACAAACCCTGATATCCCTCCAAGTAAGGCTGAAGCCTCTTTCCTTCCTGACAGTGAGTGACACATGTGCACATCAGACCATCCTTCCAGTCCCAAACTCCCCGTCCTCAGCACTCAGGACAGCTGGGTCCTGCCCCGCAGTCACATCACTCTCATTTATATCCGTGTATAAAAATCTCTATTTTGGGCTTGCAGAGAGGAGCCGCACTGCCCCAGCACCTCCAATAATGCTCCTCACCAGAGCGTACAGGTAACACATCTGCAAATCCGAGCTACTTCTGGCCTTTCCACAATGTTAACAACTGCACTACAGCACTGCCACGGACACCGACAGCAAAGGATAAATTAAGTCAGGGATAAATTAAATTAAATGTTTGGTTTTGCTCAATTCCGCAAGTTTTTAGTGCACGCACTGGTGCCTCCCATGCGGGCTGGGCTGCGGTAACTCAGAAATGCATCAGGAAAGCGCAGCCTGAAGGAGGCCGAGCTCCCCCCGGAGCCCGAGCTCTCCCCGTCCTGCAGCTCCGGGAAGGCCCCCGGCCACCCGAGCCCCTTCCCGGTCCCTGCCGCTGCCCCGCGGAGGCTCCGCCGGCCGGAGATGGCCCCGATGGCCCCGGATGGCCGCGGATGGCGGCTCCCGGTTCCTCACCCGCTGCCGCCGCCGCGCCGCCAGCCCGGAAAAGGAGTCAGGAGCGCTTCCGCTTCCGCCAGAGCCACGGCAGCGCCCCCTGGCGGCCGGAGGGCACAGCGGGGACGGAGCGGGGACAGACCCGGGACAGAGCGGGGACACACCTGGGACAAACCTTATAGAGCTGGGACAGAGCCGGGGCACAGCTCGGTGAGAGCCAGGACACACGTGGGACACACCCAGGACACAGCTGGAACAGACCCGGGACACACCTGAGCATCATCCCTGCTGCCCACCTGAGCATCACACCCCGGTACCCACCTGGCACCACCTCCTGGTACCCATTTGGGCATCACCCGCGGTGCAGGACCTGCCACCCACCCGGGCACTGTCCCCATCCATCCTCACCCGGGCACTGTCTCCATCCCCACCCGGGCACTGTCCCCATCCTCAGCCGGGCACTGTCCCCATCCTCAGCCGGGCACTGTCCCCATCCTCACCTGGACATCCCTCTCTCCACTCAGCCCTCCCCTGCTGTTCACCAGCAGTCACTTCTCTCCACGAATGAGGGTGAAAACTGGTTCCTCCTGCCCAGCCCATGTCCCTCAGCCCCCAGGGACACCAGGGACACTGGTCCCATGTCCCTCAGCCCCCAGGGACACCAGGGACACTGGTCCCATGTCCCTCAGCCCCCAGGGACACAAATTCCCCTTCTGCCAGGTTCAAATTCCCCTGCTCCAGTGTCACTGTCACCTGCATCCCTGTCCCCGTAAAGCAGCTCACCTGCACAAACCAGTTCCCTTTCAGGTAAATGTGGCCCTAGTACATCTTTTTGGGACAGAGATTAATTTATTCTCAGTGAAAATTGGTAGAAATTATCCAATTAATTGGCTGAGACACAGCTTGGTTTGGTTTGGCTTGGGTTTTTATAAAGATAGGCTGGGAAAGTTTGGGACCGAGTTGTACCAGGCTGGGATTTGGACAAACACCTTTATTTACCATTTATAGAAGGGACTTTCAGCACCAGCCCATCACTTGTGGAAATGTGAGTTCCAAACACTGGAACAGGCTTCTCTTCCTTCACAAAGATCCACACCAACATAAAGGGAATTTATTCCTTAAGATGGTGTAGAGATCTTGAGCCCAAGCTCACTGTGTTGCAACCCTTTACTGTTTAATAATTGCCTCAGACTTCTTTCTAAATGGTTATGAGGCAAGGCTAAGTGGACATTAAAGGAGGAGGGGGCCAAAATTTGGGTTATTTCATATACCAAGGAACACAATGACTAAAGCCAAACCCAGCAAGTCCCAAGCACAGTTCACTCACCTTTCCTTACAAAAAAAGGAAGGTTGGGACACTTGGTACTGTACAAAACCGAGCACTGAATGTCCAGACATGACTCAGGGCCGATTACAAAAGAGCCTCGTGCTAACTTTCACCACAATGACCTGGCTCCCAGTTATTTCACTGTGTGATAACGCTCACTTCACTGAAATCACAATTAAAAACAAAAGAGAAAAAGCCCCTTTAGATTGATTTTGCAACAGGAGCGCAACAAGGAGCCAATGGAAACACGTAAGAGTTTTATTTTTAATTATGGAACTAAAAAGGCTAACAGTTTATTAACATAAGGTTGCAAATTAAAAAGACAAATGCCAGAAGTCCTTAACAGTCTCCACTGTAGAAATGTAAAAGACTTGTGCTTTAAACATTGCTGCACCAGACATGGCAGGGCTGCTCCTCCTCCCTGCCCCTCTCTCCCACATTCCGAGGAGAAACCCCTCACTGACATCCCTAAACTGCAAATTCAGACGACTTTTGTAAAGCAGAGACTCATCACAGCCATTCCCAGCCCCGAGAGCCCGTGTGTCACTCAGAGGAAGAACACTGAACGAGAAACACTCAGGAACTGGAGGCAGACAGGGCCACCTACGTTGCAGATCTCGTTTTTACAGCGCACATAAATCCAAGTATTCGAGAGATCAGATCAAACATTCACAGATGCATCTCTCCCGGATTTTTGTACCCCATTTCCATTTTATTTTCTTTTAAAAATCCTCTTCAGCAGTCCAGATACTGCCTAGAATACACCTAATAACATTCCCTAGAGCTGGAAGTTTTTAACTCCACCACTGCAAAGCATCCTATGCCTCAAGTTCTCACCGTAGGGTGGAGTCAAGAGTTACAGGGAATAATTTAAAATGGGAGTTTCAAATATTTCCTACAGGGATGTCTTTCTTGGAAGCCCAAATACTTCTATCAAAACACTGACATGAAAGGGCAAAGTCAGAACCCTCCAACTGAGGGTTTCCTTCTGCTCTGACTCGAAATTCTTTTGTTTGCAAGGACGTTTAAAAGCACGACTAAACTCATTTTCTCTTCAGAAAATGAAGAATAAAAGTGAGATCTCATGGGTGCAGAGGCAGTAACTGCCTTGCTTTCACATCTGGAGAGATGAAGAGCAGATTCCTCTGTAAACACACGATGCAGTAACACGGTGGGACCCCAGCCAGCCAGGTCTGAAGGACAATTCTCAGGACAAGCTCACCACAATTTCCAACAGCCCCAGAAGGTGGCCTTGGCTTGGCAGCACTCAGAGGCTTAGAGCTGGTTTAGAGAATCAAGGTACTGACTGTTTCTCCTGCCAGAACTTGAGTACAGTTTGGTTTCCATTTCTACCTCTAACAAAAAAAAAAAAAAACAACAAAAAACCAAAATTGTGATTTATTACTTATTGTAGGGGATATTTTGGCAGAGAGAGCAGGCACACTGAAGTCTGTTTATTTCCAAAAAAAAAACCCCAGAATACCAACCCAAACAAACTGATTTCACTGGTCTGGTTTAGAGAACTGGCCTGGACTGCACAGGAGGCAGTTTAATACAGACAGGGAACGGGGAGAAGGATGGGAATAACACACCAGGGGACAGGAGGAATCTGCAAAAACCTCTGCTTGTGTCAAAGAAACTGTACCAGTGGAGAAATTTCAGAAAATGAACTGTACTGCAAAGATCTCCCCTTGCTCAGCTCAGAAGGATGCACTAAATAAATCTCAGCTTAAGGAGATGTTAAAATATTAAAAATCTCATCACTGTAATCCACTGTTCCCCAGCTGTCAGCAAAGGCTCATCAAATCCAAAAGGAAAAATTAGGACATTTTAGCTGTGAGTTTCAGCTGGTCACAGTGGATTAGAGGAAATCCTTCAGCCAGCAGGAGAAGCAATTGCCATGGAAAATCCCACGTCCAGAGGGTTCCACTCGCAGGCACGCACCCCAAGTGAACACAAGATCTCATTTTCAAGTAATTTTTTTGTAAATAAAAAAATTAAAAAAAAAAAAGAGTAAAAAAAAATTAAAAATCTATCCATAGATGAAGGGGTACAGGAAGTTACACAATCCAGTTTAACTAAGAGCAATCAGCCCAGAGTAAGAACAGGGAAAAATTCCAATGCTGTCCCAAGTCACTACAGGGCAGAGCATGGCAGGGGGACAGCAGCTGGCTGCTTCTTTTTGGTGGGTGGATAAATCTGGCTACACCATCCCTACTTCCAAAGCAATGAGACAATTTCAACAACCAGGAATTCTTCTGAAATGCATCTGACTCTAACAATAACACTGAATATTCAACTATTCATATCATCACAGCATAAAAGTTTGGATATTTTGCCTCTAGGAAAAGGCAATGGATATCATCCAAGAGAAACTCTGCACCCATCTTAGAATTTACAGCACTGAGTTCAAGATTTTTATTTTATGATTTTATTATTATTTTTTTTTTAATCCATCCTGAAAGATTTAAAATTTGTTTATCCTCAGCTCAGACATTCACAAGGCATGCGGAGACTGTCACTACTCAAGGAACATTGATGAGGCTCTGGAAAAATGCACTGGTGGGCATTTGGTCTCATTTTTGTGACCTCCTGCCCAGCACGACATGCAAGACACTCCTGGCAGGAGCTTTCCCCTCACACCTCTGTTTTTTGGAGGCTCCAGAAGACAAGGCTTGAAGGAAAGGACAGGGAAGCTCAGGTACCATTTTAAGGGATCAAACAAAATTCCCAGCAAAGGTCAGCCTGTGGGAATGCTGCCCTGTGTACCTGTGGGAGAACAGCGTCAGCCCAGGGCTCACAAAAGACTCCTGACTGAGTTTTAAAGGAAAAAGGAGGCACCTTAAATCCTGAAAAGTCAGAATTCCTGTGTTTGACAGGTGTATTGAACACACACACACACAAAGCAAGAGGGGAAGCTGTGCTCATCCACCCAGATGGCTGCACCAATTTTCTGAGCACAGAGAATATAAAACTTCTTTTAAAAAAAAACCACCAACAGCAATAATATAGCAGAAATGCAGAATCCAGACTTTTGGGTGGTCTGTGTTTAGAAACAGAGGAAATAAAAGCTAATTCTGTAAAGACAACTATTCCCTTTCAAAGCAAAGGCCACATAAAACTGTGTTGCTCAGTTTGGTTTTTACTTCATGCCACCTGTAAACACAAGACTGGATATTCAGTTATTGGGAAGAAATGAAACCACTTTTACATCCAGAGTAAAAGAAATGCCCTCCACTGCTAGGATCACAGATTACTCAGGAAAAGGTAGCTGGGGAAGGCTTCCTTTTCTCACTTTGTTTAACAGGCTGTAACTGAATGACTGAGCTTTCAACAGAAGCACAAAACATTTCTTGATGTGTTATTTCTGCCCTCTGTCTCTTAGGTTTGCTGTGGGAACTAACACTTTCCATTCCCCACCAACAGATACATCACCTTTTTGGCACCACGGATGGAATTTCTTCCTCATGTGTAATTTTGCCCTGTACAAAAGTCGATTGTCTGATCATGCAAATCCAACAGACCTCCAGAAAGTGCCACAGGACAGTTCAGCCCTTTGCCACCTACTCCCTAGCTTGTACACTGCCATAGGAACCTCCCAGAGGACAGGCTGCCATCCTTACTTAGATCTCATATGGCATTTCAACCTCTCCTTCTGGGGGGAGGGAATCGAAATCCACACCCTGATTCCACTGAGTTTTCCCTCTCAGAGCTCTGAAATGCATGGAGATTTCTTTGATTTGTTGAAGATGTCTTCACTGAGCAGCCTGATTAGAGAAAAACATACTGATTCAATCAAATAGAAAATAAAGACAAAAACAGGTAGTGGTAGATTTCTCAATCTTTGCTCCTGTCCTTGGAGTTGAGGGTAGAGTTTCATTGCTACTGCATTTTGCCCAGCTGGATCTTCTTCCAGGCCTCTGATGCTGTGAAAATGCAGGAGTCAAGGATCCCAGCTACAGTAAATGTTCCTCCAATGATGGCACATATCTGGAATTACACAGAGAGGAAAAGATGTTTGTCAGCAATGAGGGAAACTTTTACACAGCTTCAACTGGAGGAGGGATCCTGCTGCTGGGGGATTTTCTGGAAGCACTGTAAGAGCTGGGTGACAGCGCTGGGCATGGAATTACACCAGAATTATTCCCAAAAACCATTCCCTACAGTGGAATAAATTAGTGCTGAACTGCTCACAGCCTGAGCCCATCACAAATCCCAGCTCCCACAGCACGAACACTGTTCCTTTCTGGGCTAAACTCCACCTAACTCAGCTTTCTAGAAGCTCTGTGTTGCTCACATCTTCCTACTCCTACATTTTTCTGTTGTAAACACCACAGTCTTGAAGTCTTTTCTCCATTTCACAAGATAATAATTTACAAACAGGCAAAAGACACTGAAATAGCACGTGGAGGGCAGTGAGTAACAGAGAGACCCAGCTCCCAGTGACACCACAGCTCTGCCTAACGCTTTCCGTGACAAGGGCTGCTGACAGCAGCCAGCTTAACTCGTGGTGGGACAAAGTTTTCCACACAAAATGTGGATCTAGGGTTGAATTAAAACATGTAATTACTTCCAAGAACAGGGTTAAGGAAAAAATTAATCTCCTGATTAGCATTAACAGCCTCCTTCACTTCCCAAGTGCTACAAAAACACAGAAATATTCTGTGCATTCTGTCAAACCAGAGGCCTTGTGGAAACAGAATCACAGAATCGTTTAGGCTGGAGAAGACCAGCAGTACAAGATATTTCCCTGCTACAATGGCTCATTGGTTTGGGATTACTCTCTCCTTCAGCTCCTAGCTCGTAACAAATCCCCTTTTTCCAAGGCAGGCCCTTGTCAGGAGATAAACTCCATGTCTGGTTCCCCTTCTCACAACCCAGTGTTGTTATTCTCAAAACCACCTCACCCTAAACAGCGTAAAAGACCAAATTAAAAGAGCATCACAGTTCTGAAGTAAAAAATGTGGGAGTTAGGAAATTGGAGCTGTGCAACTAGAACATGGCTGGTAACATTTTTAGGTGACGTTGTGGTGCATCACACTTTCCATGTGAACGCTGCCTGTTGGCACCCTGGGATTTTCTTCCCCTCCTGTGGTGTTCGACTTCTGCCTCCCCTCCTGTTGGTTTGTAGGAAGCCAGCCTTGTGCATAACTCAGATGTTTTTGTGTCAAACATAGCGTGACAGCAGGAGCAGGGCAGGGATTGTCCCCCTGGCACTGCTGGGGTCACACCTTGAGTGCTGTGTCCAGTTCTGGCTGAACTGAGACACCCTGAGGGGCTGGAGCCAGGGAACGGAGCTGGGAAGGGGCTGGAGCAGCTGAGGGAGCTGGGAAGGGGCTGGAGAATTCCTGAGGGAGCTGGGAAGGGGCTGGAGAATTCCTGAGGGAGCTGGGAAGGGGCTGGAGAATTCCTGAGGGAGCTGGGAAGGGGCTCAGCCTGGAGAAAAGGAGCTCAGGGGGCCCTTGTGGCTCTGCACAAGTCCCTGGCAGGAGGGGACAGCCGGGGGGGTCGGGCTCTGCTCCCAGGGAACAGGGACAGGAGGAGAGGGAACGGCCTCAGGCTGGGCCAGGGCAGGCTCAGGGTGGACAGCAGCAGGAATTTCCCCATGGAAAGGGAGCTCAGGCACTGGAAGTGCCCAGGGAGGGTTGGATCCCCATCCCTGGAGGTGGCACTGAGTGCTCTGGGCTGGGGACAAGCTGGGGATGGGGCACAGGCTGAGCTCGGTGGCCTTGGAGCTCTTTACAACCTAAATAATTCTATGATAAATGTTATAAATCTGCAACACAGCTGGCACAGAAGGCAACTGGTGTCACACTACAGACACCCTGCCACGTCTCTTCTCCCACACAACACCCCATGGGCAAAGTCACAGACAAAAAACAACGTAAGAGCAGCAGCAGCAGCGCTGAGGGGAAGGAACAAACAGCTCAGTAACGGTGAGCTCCTTTCCATGGGTATTTTAACCAAGATATGAACGTTCAGTGAGCACAGTGAGATGGGGAGCTGCAGGAAATGTGGCTCTTGCAGGACACTCAGCATTCCAGCAGATCTGCTAAAACCAGAGCACCAGCCTGAGGTAAAGTCAGGATTTTTAGGGGCAAGTGCAGCCCCTGCCCCTGTGGCCCCCTCCCTGCTGTCCCTCGGGGCACAGGGTGACTTCCCAGGGGAAATGCCCACCACGGGAGCTGGGTTATTTCAGTTCAGAGCAGCTCAGCTGACGGGAGATGTCACACCACAAACACAAACCCCGTCCAACAGCCAGATCCTGCATCACACGGCAGGAAAATCTGACTTCAGTGCAGCAGGAAAATAGAAAAAAAAAATAGAAATTCATCTGCAGAGCTCTGTAGTGCCGAGTGGGGATGAGTCACACACACCTGGCACTGGCTTGGGGCCTCCTGCACACACAGCTTTGCGTCCTGGTGACGAAAAAAGGGCCTGGAGTCCTTGTGACCAGTGCTGGGCTCTAGGTCAGCACCAGTGTTTCTTTATCATCACAGCTCTAATACGTATGGGAAGCAGGCATCAGGCACTTCTTTAGGTTTAATAAAATAAATTCTTGGGAATGATCTGTGTTGAGCTCCATGAGGTGTGTCTGACTCAGGCCCAGCCAGTAAAGGATGAAGGGAAAGAGACACAGAAGTGGAATAATCCCAGCAGTGAGAGCCCTCTGGACACGAGGAATGCACCTTGAAGAGAAGGTGATCACAGCAGAGTGGGATGCAGGCTCATGCCTGAAGGAAAACACGAGTGGGTACACAGGAGGAGGCAAGGTTGCAAGCAAGGTGGCAGAAAGGCAAGTGTCAGATACATGACTGCTCCTCTGGGATGTCCTAAAGCCTGAAAATTACTTTTAAAGTCAGAGGGGACCAGTAGGACCCTCAGGCAATTCCTGCTAAGGTAAACTGCAGAATCCCACCCTGAGATTTTCAGCACATCTTGCAGAACAGCATCTTGGCTTTAAAGATGACACAGGACTGAGTCTGTGACACCTGTCAGTACCTGTTCCCTTGGCTGAAATGACTGCCTGCAGCCACTCTGCTCCACTTCTCACCCTCCATTATTTCCAGTTTTATTTTTTTTTCACACCTAGAGGCCAGATGAGTCCTCTCATACCAGGAAAAGGAATTTCTTTGGATTTTGAATGCTCCAGCAGAACTTTGGCTGCTTTTCTGTCTGCTCTCCCCTCCCAGCCCTTACACTGATCTCATGATAAAACCTTCTTTCAGTTTGGCCACTTACAGGAACTCATGAATTTTCAGAAGTGAAACTTTTCCCCTTGCTCCATAACCTCAACCAGGAGGTCTTGAATGGCTTCTCTTTCTGAGGGATGAGTTGATTTTAAACAGTGCACTTTGACAGGCAAAAAACCCCTGTGTTTAACACGCTGCCAAGTGTCTGTGGTTAGCTCCAGAATCCCTGGCAAACTCATGGAACAGTGACAGTGGCAGCACTGACCCACAAGTAAAATCTTATTTAGTACTGAACTTTTTCGAGCATGACACGTAGAGTAAAAAAACCCAAAAAACTTAAGCTAAACCAACAGAAAGCACCTCTCACATGGTACAGAAAATGAGGATAATTCTTCACACCACAAAAACCTAAGGAGCAGGCATGAGTTAGAAGGGGGACAGGGAGGATGTGGGAGTGCTGCTGCAGGGCTCTAAGGCTGCTCCTCGCAGTGCTGAAGTTTTGGAGGGCAAAGCCATGAGTGCCAAAGAGCATCAGATAACCCTGCCAGCAGCAGCAGGAGATGGCTCTGGCTCTCTACTGAAGAGCCAACACCCCTCAGCAGTGTGTCCTTCCCTCCAGCACGGACCCCCCTCAAGCCTCTCTGCAGTCCCCAGGATCACCCCCCATCCCAGGAGTAATTTAAATTTACTGAAAGCCGCAGGGGAGCCCAAGGAAACAGCGAAGGAGCCCCTATCCCAGAGCCTGTGGTTTTTGAACAGCTGCTGATGCTTTCCACGGCCAGGCAGTGACTCCACACGCCCCAGCCCAGTCCCTGCTGGCCCTCAGCCCAGTGCTGCTCATCGCTAACTGGTCTCCAGAGCAACTGTGATGCAAAAGGCCACTCTGGAGATACAGGAAGGGGGTAAAGAACAGCTCATGTCATCCAAACAGGGCAGGGCCGGAGGTGTTCTGATCCTCTGCAGAGCTGTTCCCCCTGCCAGGCTGCAAAGCTGTAACAAAGAGCCAAGGCTGCCCTCCTGTACTGCAGCCCTGGCCCAAAGGAGCTCAGCAGGGCCCCAGCCCAGGCTGAGAGGCAGGACCCAGCCCCTGGAACAGGGCTCTGCCTCCACACCAGGAGTGTCTGTCACACCTGTGGGACGTCCTGACACAGCCACTGCCAGCAGCAGCATCATCCTCATCCTCCAGAGTAAGGACACACAACTGGAATAGCCCCCAGGGAGCTGCCTGGCTCCACAGACATCTACAAGACCAAAGAAAGCAGACAAAAAATCAACTGCAAAACTCTCCTTAAGCAGCCCAGCAGCCAGAAAGTGCCTGGCTACATTTAAAGACAGTGATTCAACACTCAGACTCAGTCCAGTGAGGAATATGGTGTGTGGAGAGGACTGTCATTTTGGGGAAGAGGAGGAACTGAAATTCTTATTTAATGAAAATTAATCAACCTTTAAATCTTTTCAGAAACAGAAGTGGAACCGCTGTTCCATTTTTGGATTCTCAGGAGGAAACACACATTTCAGTTTTTGAGGGTATGGGATACAAATTCAAATGAGATACAAATCCAAAATGTCACTGTGGCAACCAGGGAGGAAATTCCTGTCCTGTGGTCCCTTATGTCAACTCATCAACTCAAAAAAGATGCTTTTTATAGGCATATAATGGCAGATCAGCAGTGAATCAACACTGATAATAAAATGAAAGAATAATCCCAGCTATCAAATCATTTCCTATGAAAACACCTCCACACCCTCACCCTCAACAAGATGTGTAAGAAACCTTTGGGAGCATAATTTTAGGCAAAGAAGCCGAGGCAGAAGGAAATGCCAAGCCATGAAATTCTGATGTTTGACCTTGTTTAGGATTATGTTTTGAAGGCAAGCAGACGCGCTAAGAAGAGAAAGTCTTTCACCACGACATTTAGGTTTAACTTCAAGCCCCCTTATCTGGTTATTTGTGCATTCCAGAGGTCACTGTCTGAAGTTCAGTGAAGGGAACTTGCTGTTTATCACAAGTTGCAAAATCAAAATCTTCAAGTTTCTTCACACTGTTTATGTGATTTTTTTTCCAATTGAAACAGTCAAACGGTTTAAAAACCAGAATTTGAGGTCTTCACTCCATCCAATTTATCAATTGCTTCACATTCCATCATGCCTTACTGGCACAGCTCGCTGCAGCTTCAATTTTAAGCCAACTCCCTGAAGATATATTTTTTTTAAGTTCTGGAGGATCTTTAAATAGCTCTTTGCCTAATGAGCAGTTTGGCCAGCACAGCTTTGTTCTGGATGCTGAGATCAGGACTGCAGGATGCTCTCTGGACAGATCCAAATGTAACTCGTCAGGAAAACACCTCTGGAATTTGATAACGCAGCTCTTCTCCACTTCTACCCAGGAGTAAATGGGAACTGGCATTCCCATATTAAGCCAAGCAGCAGCACTGAGTGACACTCAGTGTAAAAAAAAAACTTCAGTGTCTTGTAGGAGAGGAGAGAAGTGGCTGCTGGTAAAATTTCCACTGCCCGTTTTCTTCCTATTTACTATAAAAATCACCCAAATGGCAGCAGATAGGAGGGACGGGCAGCTCTGTGTCATCTAACAGTTCTCCTTCCCTCACTTGAACAAAGGAAACCTCTCAAGGTGAGACCAGGATGACTTTGGGGTGGAAAAGGGTGAGCAGGACCTGGCACAGGGTGCCCAGAGCAGCTGTGGATCCCTGGAAGTGCCCAAGGCCAGGGTGGATGAGGCTGGAGCAGCCTGGGAAAGTGGAAGGTGTCCCTGGGCATGGCAGGGAGTGGAATGGGATGAGGTTTAAGGTTCTTTCCAATCCAAACCATTCTCTGCACATTTGATCTCATCAATACTGAGCAGTTTATTGCAGTTTTCCTGCTAACCACATCAGCTTTATTTCCAAGCTGGCACGCTGCAATAGAGCCCATCCTGCCTAGGCAGAGCCTGGCACTTCTGGAACAGGTTCATTTCCCTTCTCTTTATGCCCAGCAATTAAATCAAGTTGTCAGAGCACTGGACTTACACCTGACACTTCAGTACCACCCCAGTGATGTGCTGCTTTATCTCCACCACATCACAGTGCTCCGAGGCAGAAATTCAATTCCTCTGGACAAGAAAGGCTCAGGAGAGACAGGAAAGGCAGGCAGAGGAAGGGAGAAGGAGAGGATTAGGGTAACTCACCGATGTGATAAACCTGTACAAAGGCTGTCTCCTCTCTGTGTATTTCACTGTGATGGGGCTCAGGTCATACCGGAACCAGATTGCTGGGATGATGCGTCCGGTGTGGCTGTAGGCTACGTATTCCTGGGGGAAAAAAATGGGAAAATGGCACAAAATGTGAGCAGACTCACTCCAGAGAGTGTCTGCCATAAAACTGCCTCTGTGGGTTTGGCCCTCACCCCACTGTTTTGTACCAGATGGAAAGAAGCAAACAGTGAATTCCAATGTGACTGCTCACCTCCCATCCTTATCAACCAGGAAAACAATCTCCTGATAATGAAAGAGCTGGGGACAGAGTGATGGTGATCACTCCCACCTTCACTCAGAGTTACAGCACTGAACAGAAAGGCTGTCTTTGATTCTCCATCCTAGATCTGCTCTATTTAAATACAAACAGCCTGGTTGCAGGTTCTGTAAATCATATGTTTGTCTACATTTTGTATGTAAATCATTCACCAAACAAATGGAATTTAATTTGTAAGGGCCTGAAAATCCCTCCTTGTCCTTGCATTCCTCTGTCAGGCCCCCTCCCCACGGGGACCAGCAATGGGAATACTTTGCCCTCTTAGTATGAATCAACTGGAACCATGCTCAAACCACTTGTAAAACTCCTGTGGAAAGCCAGGATGAAACTGCATACAGAAAAATATCGGCAAATTGAACCTGTCCTGGTTCAATTCTCCATCACACAGAGGCAAAGACAGCCTCAAGTACTCCAGGAAGATGAAAAAAGAACAAGCAACAGGATGCTCATGAGCATGACATAAAAAAAATTAATTTTGCTCTCTGTGTGCTAGTGAAGCAGCATTTATCTTCAATCATCTTACATAAATCCCAAATTCCCCTATTTTTAGGTAGTTTATCCCATGATGACAAGAGAGGCAGAAGTCCCAAGTCAAGTAATTTTCAGGGCTTTTATTGGAGTTCTGCAGCTCATGTTGGGACAGTGGTTGTGTGGGAAGTGAGGAAACACGGGAGCTAAGAGAGGAGACAGAATTTCCCCTTCAGACTCCTCACTCTGTGCCAGACTGCTCCAGTGGCTCCCCATTTCCCCTTCCCACTGCTCAGGGTGGGAGGAAAGGGCTGAAGCACCACGAGAAGCAAGCACAGAGGCAGCAATGCCTCTCAGCACCTCAGTTTTGACAGAACTGACCTCATTTTTTCCTTCCTCTCCCCTTCTCCCCACCAGCAATCCTGTCCTAATGAGTCAGACTTGGCTGAACGCCCCAACTTGCAGCCAAGCTCACAGAAGTGTCAAAAGCTCCTGCTGTCTATTTTCCAAATTACTTTCAGAACTCCTGTCACAGGAGTCTTATCAGAACAGCAGTTGTGACATTAAGCAGAACAAATACATTGTAATCTGAACAGAGGGAGATGTCCAAATCCCTGGGACACACCATACAGGCAAGCCCAAAAGTCAGGAACATTAATCTGAGAACTAGTCCAGGAGATTGTGTCCTTAATCATCAGTTAGGGCAAACTAGAAGTAATTGGATATTACAAACAGATTTTGGACTTTCATTTAGTACCTGAATGGCAAAATGATTTTCAACTGGAAGATGCTTTCTACCTTAAAAAGTAAATAGGGATTTTTTATTTTTTTTTCCTTAAAAAAATTCAATACATTGAATTATTAAAATGCTGGATGTGGCACTCAGTTCTCTGGGCTGGGTGACAAGGTGGGAATTGGTCACTGGTAGGATTTCGTGATCTTGGATCTTTTCCAAACTAAGGGATTCTGTGATAATTCACCATCATAAAGCAGGGACTGTGAAATATTCAACTAGCACATATTTGCTGCTACAGTTCAGTGGCTTAATGTGTGAAATCAACATTTGTAAAAAGCTAAAACCTCTGCTGATTTATTTGTCTCATCCATCCATCACAACTGGGACTGCTTTGTTACTAAAACCAGGTGGAAGTGATGTTTTGGGTGTTCAGCTGGATTAGAATCTCCATTCAGACGCACCTTGACAGGCACAACAGGAGTTCCTGCAGCCTGCAAACACCTCCCACACAATTTACAGAAACCCACATCAGCTAAACCGACAGCTGAGAAGGCCAGGAGGAAGAACACCTTCCTCAGGAACGAAAGCAACACCACCACCTCCTTGGACAAACCCTCTCCATCCCAAATGCCAGCACTGGGAAAAGCCCCACTCTGAAGAGCTTCAGTTCCTCCTTCTCCCAGCAGAGGCTACTGCTCACCTACAATCTCCCGAGCAGGGCACAGAGAGGAGCAGGAGGGGAAGGAACAGAGGCTGAACGTGCCCTGGGATGCAGAGAGGAGGCTCCTGGAGAAGCAGCTGCTCCTTTACCTTATTTGCCACCGTGTACTGGTAGGAGTAGCGCTGCTTGCCGCTCATGTCCTCGTACACCGTGGGCACAATCTTCAGGATGTAGTCGTGAGAGGCAAGGGCTGTGCTCAAGGAAGGAAAGGGAAGGACAAGTTAGCATTGAGCAGAACAATTCAAAGTGGAGCAAGTCATAGAAAAGGGTGTCTCCCTCCTCCTGATCTCAGTGACAAAGCTTCACATCCCACATTTCTGCCCTCTGTTCAGAACTCTGCCAGGTACTGGGGTGACACCAGGAGCCGCCCAGCACTTCTGCAGGACCACAGCCCACCCAAGGTTTGTGTTACTTGAACCTTCCTAACTGCTTGTAACTATAAATGGTAATACTTTTATCATCACCACAAACAGCCTGGTTAAATCAGGAGCTGGCTGAGGTTAGGGCTGCAGCCCACTGAGATCATTTTGACAAAAAAACCTGAGGTATCACCACCTGTGTACTTCCATGTCTTTCTCATCTTCTCCTACAGCTTAACTCTTATTTTTTTCATTATTTAAATGGCTCATTCTGGTTTTTGTGTCTGCTAAAGCAGTCCTAAAACAGAATTTGAAATGGCATCTCTGCAGGACCCTCTAGCCAAGTGTAACTCGATGACATTTGGCTCCCGGAGGTAAAAAAAAAAACAAAACCAAAAAAAACCACAACTGTATAGCTTCAGGAACAGCCATAGAAATTTTGTTCCAAGAAATGGACAGGACTGATGCCCTGGAGGAGCCTGAACATTTGAGAGACAACTCTCTACACTGAAGTGTAGCATGCATTGAATTTTCCTTTGTGTGCTGGTCATAAAGAAGAGCCATGAAAATGCCCTCCTTGCCATCCAGAGTAGAAATCTCAAGGTAATTTGCAACACAAGTACAAGGAAAAGTTCTGGTGGAAGTAACAGCAGCAAAGGGACACTACAGGAACAGGATATGGATAAAAAACTCCACAGGGACTGCAAAGGACCTTTTGGGCAAAGCCTTTTCTGTAGCACTGCAGGAAATGGAAATGTCAGCCAGCAATGTCTGGATCATTTTGGCTAAAGAGGCAAATTAAAGACTTCTGGACACAGCAGTGTTGCACGAATGGCCCTGCTTTCCCTCCTGCAGAGGGTGGCTGAGAGCTGCAATCCCCAGGAATACCCACGGTTTGAGCTGAGCTTGTCTGCTCCCTCCAAGGCATTGAATGCTCCGTGAACGTTATGGACCTGGAAAGCAAAAAGGAGGATGAAGAAACTGCTCTGACTTGATTCTCTTGACCTTTGCTTCCCTACCCTGTAACCAGGGGATCAGCCTGATTCAACCTTTCCAAAAAACAAAGCCTTAACCCAGTAAAAGATGACCCCAAATATCTTTCAGTGACCATCATCACAGTGGTTGGCTCCAAGTGAAAAAGCTGATTTCACAACATCTTACAAGATGAAACTTCAAAACCACTCCAAAGTTAAAGGAATTGCAGTTGGAAGAGGCCAGTTGTGAAATTTTCACCGTGAGGTATTTCCTAAGAGCTTTGCAGAGTTAACTGGGAAATTAATTTATCAGGCTGAAAGGGAAATAAATGGGAGTCACACTGGGGTTAAAACTCAGGAGTTCTCCTCTAGAGGGGCTCATGTCAGAGCAGCTGGGTCTGTACATCAGCCTTGGAGATGGGAAGGACACATCCCAACACTGACATCCCTTCAGCTTTTCCTGCAGCTGATTTCAGACCTGTGAGTGTCTGTTTGCCCAGAGTAACAGGATTTCCATGCCCTGCACACGCTGTGACCTGGAGTCTGATCTCCACCAACAGAATAATCCATGTGTGAACTCTCCAAACTGGGAAAAGCCCATGGCAGCAGCTGTAGGTCAGAGGTTGTGCTGCTCACAAAGTACAAAGAAAGGACAAAGAACTCCACACCCCAGAAGTTCCTGACCTGAAGTCAGACAACAGGGAAGAAGAGTTTGGAAGGAGGATTTGGTCATGGGTGTGACAGTTTCACCTCACCAACAGGGCAATGCCATCTCCTTCCCAGACCCTCTCAACAACTGACAGCACATGGATGTATCTGCCTCATCCTAATGGACATTTCCCTATTCCCAACACCACACAGTGGGTGATGGAGGAAGCAGCAAGTGAACCGTGTTTGCTCAGCAGAAAGGAAATTCTGGAGGGACAAAATCATCAGCAAGTTCAACTGGAAGGTGCTGGGAACAGGAGCAGAGCAAAAGCAACAGCTGATCCTGCTGAAGGGCCTTTTGCTCTGCTGGAATTTCACACAACCATTCCCAAACTACATCTGCAGGCTGTGCTCATTCTTTACTCACTGTAAAAGGTGCAAGAAGAAAAAGAAGCCCCCCAGAGCAGGCTACAGTGTTATGTTCCGTTCTTGATACAGCTAAGAAGTCTTTTATAGAATATCTGGGCCAGAGACTTTAAGGTCCACTTCAAACTTTTCCCAGATTTCCCCCTCGTGTACACAAGACCAAAATTCAAACCAATGAGTTCCCACCTCCAGCTGTCAGGTGATGTCAGTAAAGAGAGAGATGTGGAAATAGGAAATGCTGCATTTTTAATCATAATTTCTACTGAGTTCTACATTATGGTGTTGAATAGTCCTGGTTTTAACCTTGTCAGGAGAGTCCCTGATACATGTCCTGTTTCCTCACCTCTCTCCTTACTGGGTTACCTGACATGCAGGAACTCACTGCATGAGTTTGAATTCTGCAGGTTTTAAATCTGATCTCATCTAAATGAGGGAGAAATCTCCATGAAGTCTGCCACTATTGTGCACGAGGCACTGATGAAGACTCAAAGCTCATTCAGTGCCAGAAGATATTTAAATCTCTGTTTCAAAGAGACTGGTTTTTCTGGAGAACACACAGCATGTCCCTCAGTGGATCACTGTGGCAGAGTCAGTAGCAAGCCACAAACTCCCAGCACATGACACAAGTGAATGAGAAGCTCCTCACCCACTTGAAGGACTACAAGCTTTTATTACATCAAAGCAGGTGGAGACGACCTGAAATATTCAAAGGTGCACCTAGACAGATTTAAAGCTCCCCACACTTGCTGGCTCTCACTGCCTGCTGACTCGTGGTAGCACCTGTTTGGTGAACAGATCCTTCTTTAATTTGTGCTGCTGAAGTGCTGTTTGCCTGCAGCACCTCCTGCTCCCTCCCTGAGCACTCAGACCAGCAGTTATCCTGAACTCTGAGAATACTCATCTGAACTTGTCCGAATCAGGAGCCAACTCCACCTTTGCTAGACAGGTTTCTCACCACAAGAACTGAAGGCACTTGCTGCTTGTCTCTCCAGGCTCCTCCTTCATGCTGATTCACCCTCCAGCTGCCTTACTCCAGGAGTCCATGATAAAACAATGGGAATGCTCCCTCGGAGCGCCCATTTCCCACGCAGGCTGCACAACTCCCTGTTACCACTCACCCGATATTTTCCATAATCTCAGTGTGCATTACAGACATTAAGCCAAGCTTATTTATACGCTAATGTTTCCTCGTTCCCACACAAGGTATTTCCTAAAAGAAGCTGGGAGCAGAATCAGAAGACTACAAAGCAACGCTTAGACTTGTTAGCATGAAAAAGGGTTTTGGAAGTGGGTGTAAAGGAGCAGACTAATGAGCCGTCTGTGCTGAGGAAAGAAGATTACAGAGAGACTATGGGTAAGCAATGTTTAGGGTGAGTCTCAAACTGGGTGTGCACATGTGGAACTCCCACCTGTGAGGCCAGCCCCTTGGAAGTAGGCTAGAGAAGTGCTGTAATCTGTCCTTATTGAGAAATCAGGTAATATTACATAACTTGCAGCACCTGGTGAAATCCTATCCACTGGGCAAGTGCATGCACTCAGCTTCTTCCCAGCAGGGAACTGGCACTGCTAAGTCTAACCTGTGTTCCACAGAACAAATGTGACTGCTAGGTGTCTGCTATGCAAGTACAGGGAAGTGAATTAAAAAGAGCTTGGCTGCTGCTGTGGTAAACACAGCAGTGAGGACACATCTTCCCTGGGCGCATCACTGCTCCTCCACTAAGGCAGAAAGGTTTGTTTGCTGTGCTCCTGCTAAAAACAGGATTTTGCTGAGCCACAAACCCTCATTTCTAACTCCCTGCCTGTGTCAGGAAGACAGCCACAGAGTTTTCCAAAAGCATTTTCAGTTTCAGAAGAAAACAGCACAGTTGTTCTGTGACTGGACACCGCTCCTGTCCCAGCTGGTGGCAGCCATGAACTCTTCCAGACTTGAGCTCATGCTGCAGGGACACACAGGCCTTCCATAAAACCAAAGTGTCCAATATTAAACCACTCTCACTGCATTCCCCTACAGCCAGGGAATTTTCAGGACTCACCTGTAGCTTGTCCCCAAATGAGAGCTTGTGGATGACGTGAGTCATGTCGGGGTTCTGGGGCTGCGCCGTCGCGCTGTGCGTCGACACGTGGAAGTTACCAGGGACCTAAAATTAGCCAAGACAGGGAAGACAGGATTTCACATTTTATCCCTCAAGGCATTGCTAGGCTCTGTGATGTGACATGGGAATGCCTGGATGCATCCAGGAAGGTGGAAGAATCTGTGATACCTTCCTGCACCTGACCAACATCACCACACTCACGTCCTGCAGCCCTCGAGTCTGGCACCCCCACACTGCTGATGTTCCTGACCAGCAGATGATGAGTGGCTCACTCCCAGCTCCAGGGATTCCCAGCACTCAGGGCTATGTCTTTCACCCCTACTAAAATAAAATTCCTGTCTCTCTTGCTCAATGTCTTACTCCCACATCTGGCATTTGCAAACGGGCCCACTGCTGCAGAGCAGCCCAGGAAGCTGGGGATGTTGAGATTGTGTGCAAGGATGAGTTTTATATAAAGAGAAAATCCACCACCAACCCCACGTGGGCATCCTTTACAAACTAACCTAGATCTTCCCTTTCTCCACCTGTCAGGAGCCAGCAGGAGCCCATCCTTTCAATTTTTTTAATGGAGGGAAATACGGAGAGCTGAAAAACACAAGTTTCACCTAAAGGCTCAGCTCCAAGCCAGAAGAGGAGCCCTGGTGTCACTCTGATGGCACCACTCCGCATGCACACACTTCCCAGGTCACTAACCCTGAAGTCCTTCAGCAGACAAAGCTCAATCACTGTCATGGAGGGTGCAAGAATATCTTCCTATTGAGAAAAGGTTGTGAAATGAAGCAACACTGAGGAGCAATCTGGCATGGCCCAAGGAGTGGGAGGGTGGTTATACAAGCGGTGCTTCTCTCTCTCTGCAGAGACACCTCACCAGCAGGGCCACAGGAGGCCACATGCCCGTTCCATGTGCTTTCAGGAAAGCTGATTTAATGACTTGAGGAACAGCAGTGCATTCCTGGGAACACTTTCAGGTGTGGACACAAGCTGTGTCATAAACAAGCTCAGCAAACAGGGCATCAGGCTCTGCAGCAAGCAGCACACACCATCATCTCACTGTCACCTTGTCCTCCCTTGGCAGCTGGGACAGGAACACCTGAGTGCAAGCCTTGCTTAAGTGTCCAAGCCTGGCCAGGTCCCACTCCAGCTCCCAGCTCAGCCCGTCCAATTCCTGCCAAGGACTGCAGACTTCCAGGTCACACACAAGAGATTCAGGTTTCCAGAGCCAGAAGTCCTGGGGTCAGCTCCTCTCCCTGTGACAGCTGTCCCAGCCACTAAATGAGACACAAATTAGCAGTGGAGGAAGCTCCTCACTGCCACATTCTGCACCCCCTTTTGGAGCTGCTTTTGTGGAGCAGGACACACCACATCCAGCAGACAAACCCCCAGGGATCTCAGCTCTGTGCTCTGGGAATTGTCTGGACAAGGACTACCTTCCCAGAAGCCCTTTCCCAGTTTTGCGGACTATCAGCTGCCAGTGATCCTGGTGGCTTGGAGATGAGGAAAAAGTCCTGGTTTTAAATCCCTCATCCTTTCCATGCCACACAATCAGCAATACGTTCTGTCTGTTATTTTTAGATGTGCTTTAACATGACCTGGGAGGAAAAGAAGGAAGTTGGATTCTGTAGCCTGTGGTACATGAAGAGGAATGAATAAAGGGTGTGCCCTTCTTAGGACATCAGTGGGTCCCACCAGTGCCTCCCCCACCCCAGCAAGTCATCTCCAGCATTACATAGAAGATTATTCAATCTTGAACACACCCACCCCAAAGAAGAGCCTCCTCCAGGCCTGGATTTTCATTCCTTGAGACAGAAGCAGAGCATTCCCACCAAGCATGCGCGGGGCCTCGTGCTGTATTCCAAACATCCAAGCAAGGAGCCCTGGCAGCCTCCAGTAGGGAACATTCCTGTCATTCTGCAGCCCTCAGAACAAAGGAGAGCTGGGATGCAGCCATTGCCAAAGACCTCTCCACAGTGAGTCAGGCTTTGGAGGTGCAGAAGTCGTGAGGATAAACACAGAAGCCCTTTGGCATCTGTAGGGTTTTCGCACATCCCCTGAACATCGGGCTGCTGCACAGAGCTGTCCTCTCTGTTCAGCAATTCTGTCTCCATTACCTGCTTTGGAGAGCGAAGAAAACCCCTGCTCTGACACATTCCCTGTGGGTCTGGCCATGCAGCCTCCTCTCCCCACACTTGACATAAATTTCTGTCTGATTGGGTTCATGAACACACACACACGGCAGGAGAGACACACATGTTCAAATTTTCACTTTTACAAATGGATCCTGCCAGCACACCCTCACCCACTGTCACTACCACTCACCTTGTTGATGCTGAAGTGGCCCTCAAACCTGCAGCCATCCCCATTATTAAGAGGGATCTTCATCGAGTTGTCAATGTGACCCACTTCGTGCCTTCCCATTTCATCCTGGATGTCCAGACCAACCACTGCAGGGGTGAGAAGGAGAAGACAAAAAAAAAATAAAAATAAAACTAAATAAGTAACAGGAAGGTTTCATAGGAAACCTTTCATATTGCTTTTACTTGAAAAAAATTGACACCTTTTTTCCTGACATTTGACTAAACTCAGCTAATAATGTCTTTTATCAGAAACTGTTATCCCAGAAAGACTTTGTAACCAAACTTTTCATGCTGCCTACTTGACACAAATACACCTCCCATGTCCTGCCAGCTGCCTGCAATCCCAAACACAAACAGAAAAACTTCAGGCAGACAAGGCAGGTGACTTGGGAAGAGCCAAGGACCAGCTGGTGCAGTCAGAGTTCCGAATGGAACTTGGCAGGTTTCTTGCTCCCAGACACAAAAAGGCTGCTATAACAAAAAAAAAAAAAAAAAAAAAAAAAAAGGAAATGAGATTTAGAAAGAAGCCAGTGAAGGAGATCAGCCATTAACACATGGTCCAAGAAAACAGGTGCCCTGGCCTGAAACAAGGCAATGGGATATTGGCAGAGGCTGCAGCTACTTGATTTCCACCCTGTTACAGAAGAAGGGTCACTGTACCAGTCTGGGCCCATTTCAAGTATGACTTAAAGCACAAAGAAAAGCTGCTAAATGAAAGGGGTACTCACATTCACAGTGCAGGTTTGGCAAACTGATGTTCAGGTTCACTTCTATTTTCCCCCCGCTGTCTTTGTCTGGGTCATCCACGTAGAGCTCATTAACTCTGGAGGGCAAAAACACAGGTGGGTTCAGGCACAGGGCTGCTTCCCACAGGGAAAACCCAAAAACTTGCATGGGGAGGGGGAAAAGGAGACTGGAAAGAAGAGGTTTGATTGTGTGATGGCTACAACAGAGGCACAGAGAGCAGGAAAAGCTCTCCAAGATGGAATGGGGGCAAATCATGGCTTCATTTGACTCCTTGCTGGCAAGTGCAGGAGGCTTTAAACAAGTTCTGCACCAGTAGAAAACAAAACTTCTGCTCTGCCTCCCACACTCTTCTCTACCCTGAGTTTTCAGAGGTGCTATGAAACAAGACCCTAATGCTGAAGAGGTGTCAGGTTATTGATCCAACTCTCCCCTCCCCTGGGCTGCTACTCCTTTTAGGCAGGAGGGAAGCATGTGTTTTTCCATTTGTTCCATAAATAGTTCTAGAGAAAGGCTGCTCTCAACTACCCCCCAAGAAAGCTTATTTGTGTCACCAATTGCCTTTTGTTATTGCCACCCAGCTGACAGAGCAGCAGCAAGAGGCAGCACGATGTATTTGTATCCTTCTCCTTAATATCACATTTCAATCTATGAATGGTAACCAAAAGTGGTGATTAAAATTGAGGAGAAGAGGATTTGAGCCAGGAACAGATGGGAAGAAACATCCTGGACAGCAGGATTTCACACACTCTACAGCAGTCTCCCAAAGAGTAATGTTGTCTCATAGCACCCACGGTGCTGGCACGCATCTCACAGGAGACAAAACACAGATAGAGAGGCAGAAGGATGTAAGAGTATAAATATTTATTGTTGGCACACGTAATCCATCCAACACGTAAAAAAAATAAATCAAAACAACCCCAGTGCTGAATTTGCGGAATGATCCTGGAGAATCTGCTCTGGGGAGACTCACCCCACTGAACAGAGACCATGGTGAGATTACCTAGAAGCTCTTTTCCCCGTTCAACAAATAAGATTTGACAATTTATCTTCCAGCTGGGCAGACTACAACACTATGGGAGCTTAGATTCAGGCAAATTACATAAAATGTAAGTAGTAAGTGCTCTGTAGCATTTTTATTTTACATTCAAAGTGCACTAAACTCTTTGACAAGCCCCACTGGAGAATCCACATGCTAACAGTCAAACCAGACTAAGGCAGCTACAAAACAGATTTAAAGTGATTTTGCTCTGGTGATACATCTCTGGGCCACGATGAACTGTTTGTCCTGTGGATGCAGAAGAAACAAACCTTCACGCTGAGAAAAACACATGCTGCCAGGTTTTTTGGAGGCAATTGCTCACAGGTCAGTGGGGTTTACAGACACTCATTTAAAACCAGCACAGCATTTGTCTTCGGCTTCACAGCCCTACCTTTCTCTGCTTTTAATTGGCTTGACAAGTTGCTTGCAATCATTACTCAACCTATTTTTCAAGTGATTAATAAAAATGACACAGAGGGAGGGGAAAGATTGCTCATCAGTGACCTAGTTAGCAACATTTTGGCTGAGCCCTCTCCTCCAGGGTGGAATGCATTCTCTCCTCTACGTGTTCATTACTGACAGATTGGGCAGCGATTCGATTAAGTCATATATCCAAATAGGGCTGGGAGAAGCAGCTCCAGCCAGGATGGGCATTAATCCCCCAGAGCAGGCACCTCTCAGTGCTGCCATCCATTTCCAGTCCCAGCCAGCCCATTTCATAACCCCTGGCTCCTTCCCAGCGCGGCACTGGCCCAGATGCCCGGCCGGTGTCGTGGGCACCTCGGCGTTCTGGCAAAAGGAGCCTTTGCAGCAGGGCTGGCAGAGCACAGGCAGGTGCAGCAGCTCAGCTGAACATCCCAGCTCCCTGAAGAAAAACCCTAGCATCTGTATTTGCTGATTCCCAGCCCTGAACCTGTCAGGAACCGTGCGGCTCCGCAGCGAAGGCGCAGGAGCCTTCCAGTGATGAGCGAGTGAGGAAGAAACTTCTGATTTCTCTGGCAGAAATGAGAGGATGAACTGTGCCCATGGAAGCTCTGACAGAGGAAGGCAGGTGCTGAGGTCACTTGGCTGCTCGCTGGATCACTGAGGCACAGAGAAGTAGGACAGCTTGTCCAGGTCACACAGCCATTAGCTGCAGATAAAGGAAACTGGTTTCCTGTCCCGCACTCCGGTCACTGGACCAGTGGCTCCCAACCTGTCCCCTGGGCAAGGCTCACTTCCACTTCCTCCTTCTCTTTACCCAGTCGCCCCCTGCCCCTCTCCTACTCATGCTCCAAATTTCATCACCCAACCCATCACTCCACAAACATCAGACAGCTCGTGACAGTGGATCCTTCCTTTCCTGCCCCTCGTTTCAACCCTCAGCATCACCGTCTGTGGAGCACCCATCCAGCTGGATCCTGCTTCTCCCTCCCAGCTCCAGCCACTGCCTCCTCATGGCAGGATCAGCTCTTGCTGAAGGCTCAGACTGACAAATCCAGCTCCAAAGTGCATCCTTTGAGCATCACTGATGCTCCCTCTCACTAAGGGGAGCCAAGGCTACATTGATGACACACCACAGGCTGCACTTTGCACTTGTTGGGGCAAACCTCACAAGAAATGTTGTTTTCAACAAACTGGGCATCTCTCTCCCCAAATATCTGGAGTATTGGAATTCTGGAAATCTCACAGGTAATGCAAATTTCCAGGGTTTCAGTGAACCAGTGGCACGCAGGTTTGGGTGGCAAAAGCTGGCACTCACATGTTCCTTGCTAGATCCTCCTCCCCAGGGCCACGCAGCCAAATTGCACACAGCCATCCTACTATTTAATCAGACTTTCCTAGGATGTCAGGAAAAGCACTATTTACCCCCTCTAGCCACTCTCCCTGAAGAAATAATGTCTCTGGTGAAAAAAAAAAACGTTGTTGACTCTAATTTATAGCTGTCTGTCCTGGAATACAAAGTGTCCTGGGAGTAAGAGTGCCTTAACAGTAAATCTGGGATGATCACAGGGGAAATAAAACCTGATGCCAGGCAGAGAGAGACAGTGATATCGGTCATATTGTGACTCCAGAGGCAGGGTATACAGTCTCCAAATGTGTAGGAGTTGCTGTTTTCCTGGCTGCTAAGGAATGTTTGAATAAAAGCAGCACAATAAAGGAGGGTGAGGGCGCAGAGCTCTGAAAGTACAACGAGTACAACACAACAGGTGAGAGCTGGAGCCTCCCACCACTGACCCAAGGAACAGCAGGGAAGTTTCTCCGTGATCCACACATCAGGAATCTGCTTCACTTCTAGAAAGAGCCACTTGAAAAACACTTCACATTCCTGAGTGATGCTGCTTACCCCGTTTGCTTACAAACTTCCAGCGTTCCACGCAGAAAGCTGCAGGGACCCTTTGGCCAGATCATGCCAATGGCACGTGAGAGCCAAGGAAAGGGGGCCACAGCAGCCAGAGGGCACGCCATGGCTCAGGGTTTTATCCAAAGAAAGTCAGACCTGTTCCCTGTGTTTTAGGTCTCAGATTTATGACACAACAGCTTCGTTTCCCCAGAAACAAAACTTTCCCAGTAATTTATTTCCACCCAGCAGCTCTGGCCACTAACTTCAGCAGCTGAAGAGCCTGCAGCCCTTCGGATCTCAGGGTGGGCACTGCATCCACCTTCCAGAGCTCCCCCACTGCGTGGGTGCTCTGGAAACACATCTGCCTTGTCCTGTGTCCTCCTTGTCCCAAATCCCTGCTTCAGGCTTTAGCCTTTTTTCTCACCCTTTCACAGTAAACAATCAGCCAGCCTCCTCCTCAGTCATCAGCCACAGAGAAAATACAGCCCCTTACTCCAGAAAGCTGCACTTTACCTTGTCCTCCAGCTCCCAGGAGGCACCCTCTGATCCCCAGGACCCCATGCCTAAGAGGGAAAACAATTACTCTTTCTTGAGGAAGCCCAAAGCTTCCCAAAAGACTTCCTTAGGTGAGCCCCCTTGGCTCCACTTGCCCCTTCAGCTCTACTCAACCACCTCCCAGAAACAAAACCCTCCACGCTGAGATTCCTGCACCACCACATTTTCAGTGATGCCAGACCAGAAACCATTAGACAAATCTTCTTTTCTTTGTGTGAAGAAACAACAAGCAGGTCAGCAAACTCTCTCCTGCGTCATGTGTCTGTTGCTCTGATATTTGTCACCTTCTGCATCCCAATCAGCTCCTCAGTGTGAAGGCCCTTGTCCCAGATCAGCTGTGGAGCACAGCAAACACGCTGCCCTACAAAGGAAGGAATTACAGCTCTCCAGGAGACAGGAAGAAGGAGAAGGGTCTGAAAGACGTCAATGTAGACTTGAGTCAGGAATTGCAAATGACATCATGGCACGACCTTCTGCTTCCTGCAAGCCCACACAGGGCACAGCAACCCCGCACCAATGTCTAACACCTCGTCTTAGGTAATCCCCGCGTTGCTACGCAAACATTAATTAAGCTTCTTACCTGCCTACCTCTCTCAGGGCTGCTAAGGATTACATCCCTCTGCAGAAAAGTGTCTGTCTCAAGGTCAGCCCGTGGCAGGAGCAGGATTACGGCTCCCATTCCCCTTTGCCTACAAAGCTGTGCTGCCCATGCTGGGCTGGCTGGCTCCAGCATTTCATCTGCCTCAAGATGAGCCAGCAGGGTTGGAGGTGCATCCCCAGTTTCATGTCAGGACACAGGAATTGTGGCATCTCTTGGCTTGTGCTCCCAGATTAAGGTTTGCAGCAGAAGAAACCCCTGCTGCAGCAGGACCTCACTCTGCTGGTTGGTACCATTTCCACGGGCTGAGAGCCACAAAACACACCCCACACACTCTGGAGAGCTATGGGACAAAAAGCCTCTGAAGACAGGTCTGGTGACAATCCTGCTGCTCTGCAGGATCAGTCCTGGGCATGCAAATGAATCCAGTGTGGACAAGGAACCCTGCTCCCTGAAACTCCTGGAGTTTTGCTTCCTCCCACACTCCTGACAGCCTTCTTGGGGCTATTCTGTTTCAGGCCAGGAGCTGGGCTTTGATCATCCTAGTGGGTCCCTTCCAGCTCAGGGTATTCCGTGATTCCACAATTCATGGTTTGTGCTTCCATGAAAAGGCAGTATTTTACCGCAGATATTCTGCTTGAGTAATTAATTGCCTTGCAGGAGGGCTCAGCTTTCCAATTAGCAAACTTGTCACTTCAGATAGGTTTTTGTCTGTTGTTACATTAAAAAAAAAAAAAAGAAAGAAAAAGCAAACACTGCCAGGAACAGTCTGTTGCTTCCTACAGTGTGTTGTGGCAGATGAATTAGTGTTGAGCAGCAACATTCATACCACAAGCACCACATTCATACCCTCCTACCCCTTCCCCTGGCTGTCAATGCAAGGCAGACTAGATTACTTAATTACATCTTTAATCCTTAATGATGGAATACTTGGAAAACTATTATTGATCTTACAGGACATAATTCATGACCTAATTATGGTGATAAAACTGTGAGATTATTATCTTGCCAGCTATTAACGTCTAGTGCTGATCTGAGTTAATTAGAAAAGAGATGGGTGATTTCTATGCTTCTGATTTGCAACACAGCAGCAGAGGAATGAGGAGGCTGCTAAAGGCAGGACAAGCCATTTCTAGCCCTCAGACTACTCTCAACTCAACCAACTATTGATCAGGAAAAACCAGACACATTCAACCCATTAGTTTAATTTCTTCAGCCATTTGAGTCATTGGCTCAGTGGGACAAGAGTGTTTGACGCTGTTCAACTTTCAGAAGTTCAAACGTGGAGCACAGACCTCCTTTCCTTTAATCTTTTACAGAATTGAGAAGATTCTTGATATGGAATCACTTAGGTTGGAAAAGAGCTCCAAGATCATTGAGTCCAACCTGTGACACATCTCCCAGCCCTGAGTGCCATGTCCAGGTGCTCCCTGGACATCTCCAGGGATGGGGACATTCCAATGCCTAGAGTTTGGACTAAGCTTTCAGTCATTCTCAGCCTGGACTAAACAAAAATAAAAATAAAAATAAAAATAAAAATAAAAATAAAAATAAAAATAAAAATAAAAATAAAAATAAAAATAAAAATAAAAATAAAGCGGATCTTTGACTTCCAGAGTTGAACTCATCCTCCCCTTAATGGCAATGATGGGTTGTGACTGAGAAAAGAAAAAAGCTATTTCCCTCAGCTGCCCTTCACTGTGCTCTTTCTGGGAAGGATGCAGCCCCACCTAAGTGCCAAGCTTGGATTTCCTTCGTGGCTGCTCACAGCTCTGTTAGGGTCACACGATAAATCTGGATGAGCAACTTGGGAGTTTACTACCCTTCTTTTGGGCTGGTCTCCCCAGGAAACCCGTCAGCAGCAGAATAGGATGTGCCTTTAGAGCGTTACCTCTTCCATGAGCTTCCTGCAGTGTCTTGGTTTGACTTCCTAACTGGAGTTAACGCAGCCTCGGCGCTCATTAGAAATGCCCACACGAGTTATGACACAGCTGCTGTCCTCCCCACACAGGTAATGTTTGGGTTTAGGGCTATGACTGTGATCCTCGAGATGAGGCTGTCATTTCTTGGCTGCCTGCCACCCAGACAAGCCTTCAGCAGCTGAGACTGTAAATGCTACGACAATGGGTTGGTCAAGGAAAAACAGCTTTGAAGTTGGGCAAGAGCAGCCAAACCGAGATTTCGAGTAACACCAGGCACTGAGGCTGCTGCATTCGTGTGAACGTGGAAGAAAGTCCAGCAGTGGGCAGGAGCCAGCGAGTATTTGGGGTCAGTGTGGTGCAGAGCAGACCTTCTTTTCTCATGTTGCAGCACGAGCTCAACAAACCACACCAACCTCTTGGTTTGAAAGCAGCCACCGAGGGAAGCTCTGGGTGCTGAGAGTCAGACAGGGAATCCTGTGGGCTGAGGTTGCCCTGAAGGAGCTGTCCCTGCACACACCCCACACACAATTACTCGGTGGAACAGGGCTCTGAGGGAAGCAGGAGAGCTCAGCAGGGAACCTGCCACGTCTCTGATGTAAAACACCAGGTCAAGTGCTCACCTTATCATCAAAACTGTGCAGCTCTCCCCACCCAACTCGGCTCTGCCAAGTGCTTCAAGGGAAATACGACACAAAAGGAGAAAGAGTGATGCGGTCTCTCAGCACAGCTGGCAGTGACAAAGCAGGGAAGTTCATCCCATGTCACTGCACACCTGTAATCATTCAAATCCCGGCTGCCACTGGGAAACTTCTATCTGGGTGAGGTATCTGTTGTAGGAGACTCTTAATACTAAAAAAATTAAATAAAAACCTTGAAGCTTGCAATAAAAGTTGCTGAGAACTGAACAGTTTGCACATAAGGAATGTTCCATGTATTTTTAAGTATTTGGATTCTGAGCAAGCAAGGCTCAAACACCTTTTTGAGACAGCATGTCCCCTGTTATTTGCTATTACCCAGTTTAATGGCAGCACAGAGTTCTCACAAGTTCCAGCCCGTGCACAGCTCCCAGTTCTGCTGAGGCTCTGCTGCTGCCTCACAATGCACTGCCAGTAATATCTGACTGAAAGGGAACCACAAGAGTTCACAACAACTTGTACTGGGTTTCTCAGAAGAGAAACCCATGAGTAAGGAACGGAAAAATAAAAGTTTACTCCTGCTTTCGAAGTCGCTGAACTGGGAAGGACTTAAAGTGACTTTCTGAAGTATTTCCACTGTTCTGGGAGAGCCTTTTCACAACTGCTGGGGGTGAATGTTCCCAGCAAGAGTCTGGTGACTTGTAACTCATCAGAAAGAGGTTTTCCTACTCTTTTGTGTGATCTTTTGTGTTGGACAGTCCATGACGAATCAGGTTCCTGCAGTCATTTGTCCCAGACTCTTGCATGACATCCTCTCCCGAATGTTACTGCTTTATTGCCTCCTCCCCACACAGCTCCTGCTGGGAAAGGCACTTCACCATTTCTCCAAGGTTTTAATGAGGAACTCGCCAGCTGAGCATGCTTATGGCACTTCCCAGTATTTTTGTGGAAAATGCATCATCTTCTTAAGGAAAAAGCAAGAAGAGGCCTCAGAGAATTATGCAGTTGTGCTGTTCAAAAAGGAATTTCTAGTCAGGAAACTGCCACTACATAAAGCAGTTATGTGCACTCCAATAACTGAGTCAAAACTAGGTAAATATTACTATTTCCTCCTGTAAAGCATTAACTGAAAGAAAAAAGAGAACCAGGCAAGAGAATGAGGTCTAAGAGGAGAGCAAGAAAAAGCAGTGCTTTACTCGAAGCAGTCTGTCTAGCTTTTCTCTGTTTTTTAAAACAAGAAACCCAAGGAAACTCAGCTCTGTGAAGTGGCTGATAAGGTGACCCCGGATTTCACAAGCAAACACATGGAATGAAGTCAGAGAAACAGTGTGCAAGCAAGAAATCTGAGATACCATCTCTGAAGTAAACGTGCAACAGGCACAAAAAAACGATCTCGAGCTCGATTACACTCCTGCCTTCAGTTAAACATTAGTCAACATTAACATTATTCCTGAAATTATATTCTTGATCCAAGACAGAGCTGCGCAAAAACAACAAAGAGCCTCTTGGTTATCAAAATGCTCAATCTAAGCAAGGTTTCAGAGCCTTTTTGCTCAGCACTGACATCTGTTGCTATCAGGAGCATCATGTGAGCCTGACAGGAGTTCCACCCTTCCCAGCTATCCAGGAACTGTGCCTCACACTCAGTGAGCTCACTGCCACATCAGCAGGGTGATGGAGAAGGTTTCCTAGAGCCCCAAACAAAGGCAGATGTGTCAAGAGTTACCAAAAGTTTACTACGAGGCAGGAAGAACATGAGAATAGGGGAAAAAATAAAAACCTGATTAACTCAGTGTTAATAAGTACTTCATGCTTGTTCAGTGAGCAATTTTTAAAAGTAGAAATTATTTCCATTCTTCTCAAAGCTGTCACCACCTGGGGCAATTTGTCCTCAGGCACAAAACCTGTGAACAAGGTTTCCTAGTAAGACTCAACAGAAGAAGAAAAAATTCACACATTTATAAAGCATGAATCGGAGATTCAGCTCTGACATTATTAAAAAAAAGCAATTATTGATATTAAACTAATAATTCTTATTTTATGCAATCCATTTCTCCATGCTGCTAATTATGCAATCCAGCACGCAGCTAATAAAGGATCAAGTGAGTCTGGAACAGCTTCCTCTATCAAAAACAGTTCAGAACCAAGTTTGCCTATTAATTTTAGCAAATTAAAAAGCTGAATGGACGTCTGAGAATTTGGACTCAACCTAAAGGAATCCCAAAGCCATTAGGCAACTAAGTGACCTAGTGAAATTACAGGAATATTTCTCTCAGATAACAGTAAAGCTGTAAAGATTCACATCCACACAAAGAAGGGAAAACATGACTTTTACTTACATTTCAGTGGCTATGAATCCGGTGAGCTCAGACAGGAAGAGAAACAATATGAAGAGACAGCAGCAGACAGAGACTGGAACAGAGGTAAGGAGAGGAAAAGGTTAGTTCTGTACATCTAACAATGACAAAACCTGTTCTCACACAGCCATATCATTCCCCCCATGGATATGCCACCCACACACAATTAGGAATTAACAATCTTTAGAGTCCAGAGGAGCCCACCAGGGCAGTGACTTCAATGCCATGTCAATATCCAAACATCCTGAGAGGTATCTTCCCTTTTTGGTCACTTTTTCTGTGATTTCCATCTCCCCACATCTCCTGCATTCTCATTTTCAGCACACAATACCAGCACTCCCTCTTCTTGACACAGCTGCTTGACAACATCACTATTAAAACCTCCAGAAGGCAAAAAGAACCAGCACCTCCTTGCTTTGAAAGCACACAGCCCCCTGACACGGGGTTTTGGGGATGAGGAGACGTTTTGGCTCTGTGTCAGGCACCTCACAGCCTGCACTCCCAGAGCTGGCACAGCAGAGACATGGCAATACTGGAATTGTGCCTGACTTCTCTAATTCCTCCACTTGCTGGCATGTTGACTTTGCAGAGAGGGAAAATCCCCACTGATGGAATTGTGAGGTACCCAGACAAGTCCCATGTCTTCCCTAAGAATTCTAACCTGTAATTGCATGGAGGGAACCCAAAGTAACTGGAATGTTACTGTTTAATCTTCACCAGGAAATTATTCAAGCCACTGACCAGGGACATTCAAGCAGCAGTGACAGTCACAGGAGGGGCTGGAAGGAAGCACAGCTGAAAATCCTATGGATCAGGGATGATTGGAGCAGACAAGGATGTGCCAGCTCAAGGAGACAGGGCTGCAGTGTGTCTCTGTGTTAAATACAATACTCAAATTCACCATGAATCACTCACAGAAGGGCAAAGCAGGAACTGACAGGCTCTTGCAGGGCTGTGACAGCCGGAGCACAATCCCAGCACAACCCCTCCATCCCAGCACAGCTCTCTGTGAAATCACCACTTTACCAGAGCCACTAATTAGGGTTGAGAAATACACTTAAAAAAAAAAAAAAAAAGAAAAAAAAGAAGCCCTGTTCCTCAACTTTATTCCACATGACCTGTGCACAAGGTCCTGAGTGCCCATTCCTTTGGGAAGCTCAAGTAACATCAGGCTGGGAACAATTCTATCACACAACAGCCCTGGTCCAAACTCCCTTGGTACAGAATGTGAGAGGCAAGGGAAGGAAAGAGGTGCTGAGGGCAAGGGGCTGAGCCTCATGCCTCATCCTTCCAGTTCTGAGGAAAGAGAAATGCGTTGCTTCCCCTTCCTCATCAGAATAATTCCGTAATTCATTTACTGACCCTCTCTAAAGTGCAAGGGATTAACAGAAACACCAAAAAATCCACTAGCTAGGATGAGGAAGGAGAGGAAAAAAAACCCCTGAAGACCAGCAGGAAACCAGGAAGCAAGAAGGGATATTAATTCCTAAAGAGAAGCCTGAGATGGCCACACAGCTGCTCCCAAGTCATGGCTGTCAGGACAGGGAAGGCCACCAGGGCTGTGACCCAGCTGAGCCCCTGGCACAGGGCACCAGGGGCTGGGGGAGGAGAAAGGTCTGCTTAAAGCACAGCAGCAAATTCTTGTGAGAACATCCACACCTACTTAAAGATCCCAAAAAAAGAAACCAAGGCAGGACAGGAGTAGATCCAGTGCTTGTACCGCTGATCTGACAGAGACATGAGATCTCTGAGCTCTGGCAGTTGCAGGGGAGAGCGTCTGACACAGACAACCCTTTTTTCTTTAATTGCTTCCCATATTCCTTGCTGCTTGTTATGATCCCATAAAGGCTTTCCACAGCATCAGCCAGACCTCTCTGCTCCCAAGCATTTCTAGGAAAGCCTGCTACTACTAACTCTCTTAACTAAATTCTCTCCCAGAGCTTCCTCTCTCTTCCAATTTTTAAATTTCCTTCTCTGCTACTTACATAATCAAAATATCTTCTTTTCCAGCACTTGCTCCCTCAAGTCTGTCTTCAGTTCTTGCAGTGAAGGTTCGTGACAATACTTACCAAGCACAGCACAGTAAAATTCCACTAACCTGTATCTAAAAAACCCTGCAAGAATGCCCTGAAGTGCCTGGCAGGGACTGACTTTCAAAGCTCCTCAATGCTTTCCCCAGTCTTTAAACCACTGAGTCAGTTTTGAAGCTGTAAAAGAGATTACTGAGGGTGGACATGAGAGTGGGATATAAAATCAGGAGCAGCCTGAAGGAGGTGAGTGGGGAACAACCACTCACTGTCTCTTCCAGTATGGGAATAACAGGGAAAGGGGAGGTTAAAAACAAGAGAAGGTTTTCCTTTACACAACTAAATTCTGAAGATTTTTTACTATGGATGCTGAAGATGGTTAAGAAATAAAAGCTGTTAGATGACAAAAAGGAACCACACATGCCCTGAGGAAGAAATCCATTGAGGGATACTAAACACAAAGGAACCAACTCCAGCTCAGGAAGCTCAGGAGCCAAGTGAGCAAAGCCTGGTGAAGTGTTTAACCTGCCCCTCCTGCTCCTTCTCAGGCAGCTGCTGCCAGACACTGGAAAAGAGGACACTGACTGTTAAACTTCCTATACACACACATTTCCAGGGCAGGGGGAGATTTTGGCATGAGACTCATGTGACAGCATTATCAGTTACTCTCTCCAGAGGCAGCATTTCCTCAGCTGCAGGACAGGAGCTCCTCTCTCAGCGTGGAGCTGCAGGCACAGAGGACTTTCCCAGCACAGGAATTTATGCACGGGGTGCTTGAGCTGCTTCTTTCACAGTGAAGGCTTTTACTTGTTTCCATGCAAATGTGCAGTCCTACCACCCACATGTGACAAGCGTATTATATTTGGAAAAGTAGATTAAAGGCTGGAATCAGACAGAATCAAACAATTCATGCATAAAGCTTCGCTTAACTGCAAGAGCACGGCGACGTTCCCACAGAGCTCCAACAACATCTGAGACAGGTTTTTTAAAGCTCTAATATGATAACATGATCAATATATCAAAGGTTGCTGGTGTAGACACGCTGCTGTTGGTTAATCTGCAATCCCAAAAGGATGGGAAACTCTGCCAAGGTTTTTGTTTCTGCACTAACCTTTTTGTACTTATCCCTTCTACTACATACCCTGTCTACGTACATTCCTGGCTCTGCCTCCCCACCCCACGAGAAATGAGAGAAAGACAAAGTGTTTAACACATCACACAGACTGAGAACGTGGAGCCATGTCTATATTAAGGCATAAAATTAATAGTATTTATTATTCAGTGGAGCAAACTGTTACGAAGAGCAAGGAATGGGTCCTGTTACAGGCGCCATGTGAATCATAACTTCGATATTTCCTGATGTGTATTTAAAACTCCAAACAGCACAGAGTATTTCTGGCTAACATTTCCATGTGTGCATACAACATGTGCATGCAAACTATGCATCCACAGCGATGGCTGGAGAGCAGGACGGTGCCAGCAGCTGCCTGGGCTGCAGGCTGCTCTCCAGAGCCCCACTGCTCCTGTCCAGCCAGCCAGGAGAGCTGCTGCCTCTGTACCCAAACATGGCCAGGTTGTCACCACGCCTGTCACAGGGACACCACAGACACTCTGCACACAGCAGGAGGACCTGCAAAAACTGGTGGAGGAGGGACAACAGCACGATGGAGATGCTGCCTGAAGAACGGGATTTTAATGAGGAGAAGGAATGAGTAACTTCTACACCCTTCCCAGAGAAGTCCACAGTTGGACTGGGCAAGCCTCACTCCAAGTAAATGGCAGTGGATTGTTCTTGGTTTCTCCATTCCTAAGAAAGTTGTTTGTAGCCAAGTGGTCGCCACACAGATCTGAAGTATCTTGTGTGCAGCGTTCACTGCAAATGTGGGAGTTAAAAAGCCATACCTAATAAAGCCTCAACAACACCAAATAAACCAAATAAAGCCAGCTGGCTTCTGAACTTGCTCATGTTCGAGATCACCTACTCTTCTCCCTCAAAATCCCTCAACACGTCCTGTCCCTTGGCTGCTTCTTCCCTAAAAGCCTTGGCCCCTTCAGCCCTGGTGTCAGGATGCTCTTTGCCATCTCTTCTTCTGTCATCTGATCTGTGCCTTCTTTCCTAATAAACCTTCACCCTTTTTTTTTTTTTTTTTTTTTTGTGAAAATAGACCTTTTTACAATCCAAAACCCACTGTTGAAACCCTGCAGTAAGTCCATTTCTATTCCAGAAAGCCCCCAGCACCAGAAGTGATAGTGAACTAAGGCTTCAGCAGAAATCTTATGGAAAAGGCCAAAACTGACTGGATATTATAGACTATTTTATATCTGCTCTGTAAAACTTGGAGGATTTAAAGCAAGCCAAAATAAAGTTGCAGTTGTAGTAATTCCACACGATTACTAAAGCCTAAAAGATTTTTTGAGAGGCAGAACCTTCCCTTGTACTCAAGCCTCCAATGTTAACAGAAGCTGACTTCCCTGAAGCATTTTATCACCAGGTCATGCAACCTTCCCAGGCTTCCAACTGGCCTGGCAATGGGCTGGTCTCATCCAGGCCTCCTACAACACCTAAGATTAGTGGCTTTCAAATTACAAGCCACAGGCTTGGTCAGACAGAAAAGCCCATTAGAAAAGCTGCTCACAGGATCCTCACAGGCAAAGCCACCAGTTTGTGGTTCAGAAGCTTCTATCAGGCAGCCTAAAAACACTCTGAGAAAAAGAAGGAGAACCAGTTAGAGAAGAAAATCAAAGCCTGAGAAGCTGCAAATAACAATAGAGAGAAATAAGTCAGCTAATAATTGTAAGTAAGAGTCACAACCTTCAAGCCTTCCCACAACAGACTTATCACTTGAGCTGTTTACTGCAGATCTGAAAGCCTAAACTCGATGGCCTTTGATGTTTTTTTTTTGTTGTTTCTAAAATACTCTTTTGCAGGTGATTCATAACAAGACAAATTCTCAAAGGGATCCAAGTGGCACTGTGGGAACTCTTAGTTTCCAAAACAGAAGAGAAGGCAGGATCACTCACAAGTTCAAAGTGTTCTTTCAAAACACTAAATCTCATCCGCCCCTGAATTCCCAAACAGCTTGAGTCAAGCTCTTTGTTCACAACTTTAGCAAACCCAAATGGGAGTTGGGATACAAGTAATTGAGTGGCCAGGAGAGCTCAGGGGACAAGGACTCTGAGAGTAAATATTTGGGGAAATGTGTTATCTTCACAGAAGCACAGGCTGGTTGAAGCTGGCATGACCTCTCTGGAGATCATCCCATCCAACTCCCCTGCTCTGAGCAGGTTGCTCAGGGCCAGCTCTGGTTGTCTGGAGCATCCCCAAGGATGGAGACTCCTCATCACCCTCAGCAAGCTGTTCTTGGAGGATGCTCACAGCGAGGAGTTCCTTCAGCTCACGGAGGGCTCTCCTTTATGTCCTGATTCACAGGCACTGACTCAGTCCTGCATGCTGTCACCAAGGGATGTGACATCACTCACGTCAGCAATGACATACAAGACTACTGACCCATCTGAACGGGGCACAGCTCCCTGATCAAAGGAAGTCCCTGCTCCAAGGGACAGGAAAGCTGCATGAGCAGGGTAATGACAGGCCCGGCAGGATCAGCCTGATCAATGTTTACCAAGCCCTCTGCCCAGCCAGCTCTCTGCACATAATTGTGTGAAATGGCATTACTCAGCCTCCAGCCTCTCCCAGGAGCAGGAAGGAAGGAAAAGGGGCCCAAGGCAAGAGATCTGTATCATCCAAAAGTCTGTGTATTAATCCATGGGAGTGAGAGTGGATCGCTGGTGGTGGTTGGACCTGGAGGCTCTTTAGGGTCCCTTCCAACCCAAACCATTCTACAATTCTGAATTCACACCAACTATTCCACTGTTTGCTGCCTCAGCAACAAAGGACACCCTTTCCAACGCTTTAACATCCCTTTAAAAAAAATCCCCTGCAGACAGAGAGGTCAAACAATCTTTAATTTTAGACCAGGGCTATGCAAGGACATCAAAAAGAAGTTACTTACTAATGGCCCCTGTGTAGGTTGGCTGTGTAAGGTCTTTTGGCACCTTCCTGTAGATGTCAAACCTGAAAGAGGAAAAGCATCAGCCATAAAACAGGTGGAACATTTCAATACATTTCATGCCCCCACAGGGATGAACGACGCTGAAGTTTTTTCCATCCAGCTTTCCAACAACATTTTTTTCAGTAGGCAGGAGGATCTGGGAAGGAAAAAACAAAACAAAAAAACCCTTTGCTTTTGTACAATTATGTAACTGTGCTCTGTCTTGGCTCCCATTTCCAAAGCACTTCCCTCCGCCTCCCTGTTGTGGATCTGTGCAATCTGAGCTGTGAGAGCAGCCAGGCAAGAAGTCATGCTGGACAAGTTTACAGACCACTGTAAAAAGAAAAGGCTTCTCTACAGACTCCTGATAAAGATATCTGGCAAAAATCCTGCAATGAAACACAACCTATATTGCCCCTGGTCATTTGTATCCTGCAAAGCCAGAAACAGACAACCCCTAAGTCAGAAATCCAGGTGTTGAGACAAAAAAACATCCCTTGGACATCGGATACAACAACAGAAATTAACCCAACAGGTTTGTTCCTCCCCCAGCAAAATCCAGTTTAATATTAGACAGTTGTTTTGATTCAGTCATAGCTTTTAATATCCATAGGGCTCAGCTTTGCTATTTTAAACTCCCCATGGTTAAACTCTCCCTGCCCTCATGTGTTAGCTGTATTATTTCCTACCACCTTGTGTTCCTGCACGCCCAACCGCAATGAAGCTCTGACATCAGTTTTTCCATCACTCAATAAAAATTAATTAATGCATTAAAAACACCCACCCACCCTAAAGAAGGAAGTGACCAGTTCTCCCTCAAAATAACCTTTTTTGCCACAAGTGGGTGAGAGTTGGTGCTTTTTCCAGCCCTGGAGAGGGCTTCCAAATTCCCAGGCTACGCTGCACCAAGATGAAATACCCCTGTGTTTATTCAGTAGCTCCTACTACATCAAATATTTTACTGGGAGTTTAAAAACGAGATCATTGTTCTTTTCTTTAGTCTTCAGCTGCTGACATAACTCTGAGAAACTGCACCAACAAAACAGCATTTGCCCTGCAGGAGATCAGAAGGATACCGTGGAGTTAAAGCTCAGGAGTTGAAGCTGGAGGAAGAAGGGAAGAGGGAATGGAGAGCAGGGGGGAAGATATTTCAGCTGCCCAGCTCGAGTCCTGAATAAGCTGTGCCATCACTTAACACCCCAACAACCCTCTGTGAGACAGCTGACAGCACTGCTGCACAGGAGCTGTGTTCTCATGACCCTTCTCACCTAAACAGAGCAGCAATATTCCCCAACCAAACAATCCATGTATGGTTTTCCAGCTGCCCCGGGAACATCTGGAAAGTGCTGTTCGAATTCTTTCCACATCCACCGAAGCATCAGGATGGTGAAAGAACCCAAAGTAGCTGATGACATCATGGTCTCACAGGCTGAGGAAGCTGTTGCTCTCGCAGCCCATTAAATGCTGAAAGCTGGCGTCGTCTGGCCAAAGTCACAATAATAGATCAACCAGGCTAAAAAAGCTGAGAGAGAAACAGAGAGAGACAGAGCACGTGAACACGAGGAGCTGCTGAGTGTGAGCAAACACTCAGAAATAGGAAACAGCTCCAGGCTGGATTCAGTAAAAACAGCAGTGTGTGGATACTATAAAAGGAAGTTTGTTCTCACCATCAGAAATATTTACTAGTATTGAAATGATGGCCCATCACAGCATTAAAAGAAAAAAAAAACCAGTTTTTTAAACAACTCACTGGAAAGCTGATGTCATATGAGGCAGAGCTCTCTCAGATTGTCATTTAATCACATAAGTAACACCCAACACCACAAATTAACTTCTCCATGGCCTAAGTAAGCTTGGATTAGGCAGAGACACTACAAAAAATGCTCAATTAAGGTTTTATGGATGAAAGCAGAAGCTTGAAGGGTGACATCCAGAACTTGACCCAAGCAGAAGAGAAGGGAAGGAGGGAAGGTGCACTAAAGCTTGCACAAGGATGCCAAAATGATCACAACAATCAAAAAACACAAGTTTGGGATAAGAGGCAAACACTGCTAGTTAGATTTTGCTCACTGATGTGTGATACCAGCAAATCCAAATGATCACCAGCCCTAAAGAAAAAAAGGACTGGCTATGTGCAAGTCTCCTGGCAGGACAACCAGTTGCTTGGAAAAGACACGTTCTGAGCTAGGAGGGTTCATGATCTGGCAAAAGAACAACAGTCCCCAGGGCTCCAGGGACTTCTCATAAGGGATCTGATACTGGCCACAATTGATAGAATTTCCTCAGTCTGATCCCTGTTAGTGAAAACAGCAGTGGGGCTTACAGAGAAGGGCAAGGGGGAAGCCCAAATGACAAAGTTTGAGGAGAGTGATGGAGATGGCATGGCCAGGACAAAGAGCCACCTTCTTCACTCAATTTACACTCCAGATTAGAAGAAGATGTGAAATGTAAAGGGTTCAATGACAGCTTGAAAATTATGTGAGACACCAGAGAGATGAAATGCTGGCAATGAGGACAGAACCCTAAAGAAGGCTTCATTAATTATAGATAATTATGAAAACAAGTAAATCAAGCAAATGTCTCAAACAAATCTGTGAAGTTGACAAGAGTTATTGTAACAGGAGACCCTAAGCCTAAGACCCAAGAAATGAGAGATTTGTAGCAGCTTCTATCAGACCTAAGGATTAAAAATCTGCCTCCACTAGAAAAGCCTTTCTCCTTTTGCCACTGGCTCCTTGCCTACCTCCCAGAACCGAAAGCAATCCCAGGAGAGCACTTACACTGTCCTGGGAAGAGAAAAGAATGAGGATTAGACAGCAGAGATGATTTGTAATGCATGAGGGAGGAGGCAGCAAAGGGGAACAGGTTTTACTTGCCCTCAGGTCAGATGTTCCTGCAAGCACCTGCAGTAAAAATTCCAACAAGTCTCCAGGTTCCTGAGGCATTGGTCACTTGGAGGAGTATTTGTGCCCTGGGAACAGAGAGGAACCTCGTGCTCTGTTGCAAGAGCTGCCTCAAAGCAGTGGAAGGTGTTAGTAAGCCTGCAGGGAGCCTGGCTGTGCAGAGGGGCTGTACCTGCCAGCTCCCAGGGCACACACACCCTGTGCCACCCTCAGCATCCAGGGCCTGGCAATCATCCTAAGTGACCAGGAGAAACCAGGGAGTGGAATGACAACTGCTCAGTGAACTCCCTTAACCTGAAACTCATTCTGCTTTAGGAAGGGAGACATCACTTCACACCCCCAGAGCAGGCACGTGTGCATTTTCCACTGCACGCCATTTATATTTAGCTTTTGGCGAGTTTCTTCCTCCTCTTCAGAAAGACAAGACTTGTAAGGCCAAGTTGGATCTCTGAGTTGATCAATTAACATCGTTTCAGAGTGGAAACAACAAACTTGCTGCTAGGAAGGTTCTTCCCCCAGGTCCTACGTGTTCTCATAAAGGGAAGGCTGGGCCTTGCAATTCCAGAATATGAGGCTAAAGATAGAATTAGGCTGTCATCAGTATAACAAAGGAATTTCCTGACACATCTGTAGTGTCTTTTCTTTCAATGGAGAGCAGGGTTGCAGACAAAGAAATCAAAAAAACCCGTTTGGCAATGTCAGAGGTTTGCAGGAACCAACACTCATAACTAACATGAGGGAATGCTACAATAGTTTTTTATCAGTCCAAGAGTTTCTCACCTTCCTGGTGGGAATGTCAACAAACTGGTAAAACAGCATCACAGAGATGAGCAGGGGGTCATTCCTAACTAGGTTCAAACAGAGAATTCACAAATCTTCGTGTGGTTAAGGCAGGTGTGGGGCAGAACTCCAGCTCTCTGATGGACAGGAGTGCCACAGTGCTCTGGGAAAGAGTGAGGTGAATTCTAGGTGGTGACCTCAAAGGAGCCAAACAAAAGGGTGGCAGATTTCAAGTGCCAGCAAGCATCAAAAGGATTCCAACAGCTGTACCTACACTAACATGGGCTGCTGCTGCTGCTAGTCAGATTTTTTCTTCAGATAGAAGTTTATCATTGACTCACACAACGGTTTGGGCTGGAAGGGACCTTAAAGAGCATCTCATTGCAAACATTTCCCACTATCCCAGGTTGCTCCCAGCCCTGTCCAGCCTGGCCTTGGCCACTTCCAGGGATCCAGGGGCAGCCACAGCTTCTCTGGGCACCCTGTGCCAGGGCCTGCCCACCCACACAGGAAAGAATTTTTCCTAATGTCCATAATTTTTCCTAATCTAACCCTACTCTCTGTCAGTGTGAAACCATTCCCCCTTGTCCTGTCACTCCAGGCTCTTGTAAAGTCTCTCTCCATCTTCCTGCAGCTCCATCAGGCCCTGTGAGGCCACAGTTGTGTCACCTCAAAGCTTCTCCTCTCCAGGCTGAACAATCCCAGCTCTCCCAGCCTTTCCTCCCAGCAGAGCTGCTCCATCCTTCTGCTCATCCTGGAGCCTCCTCTGGGCTCTCTGCAGCAGCTCCAGGTGCTCCCTGTGCTGGTCCCAGGCTGGGGCAGCTCTGCAGGTGAGGTCTCACCTGAGCTGTGACTGACAGTGCTGGATGAGGGGCAGGGAAGGCAGAGGACCCAAACACTGCAAGTTTTTTTCTAGAGTTGATGCTTCACCTGCCTCCCCTGAGCAGAGGATGAGCTCACTCCCTCAGCAGGAGCTGCCACAGGCAGGGCTGCCTGCCAGGGCTTTATGTACACCTGAACAGTTTCAAGTTTGGACCCGAAATATTTCAGGAAATGAAGTAATAAATACATTATTTCATTGAAGATTTCCAAACATCCAAACAAAAGAATCCTCTCTGACACCTCTGGAATCTGAAAAGAGTTTTTTTAACAACTCTGGAAGAGGCTGTTAAGTTTGTCATGAGCAAGAAGCAAAGAATGTGAGGCAATTAAAAAACCCCCAACAACTTTTAAGTAGAATTAACTAAACAATGGTTCAATTTGAATGTCCTGTAGCAAAGGGAAACTCTGATCCCCAAAGGGGTTCATATCACAGAAGGAAAAACATTAATTCCTCCTTCAGTTTCCAGCATTTGTCCATCCCTCCCTGGCACAAAGACTGGAGGGATGGCACCCAGGGCTGAATTTTTCCCCAAAATTACTGATGCCCTGTGTGGAGTCCCTGCAAAGACCAGCAGCAGAATGTTCTCATGTATCATTCTGCAAGGTCTGCTTTTACTGATTTACCTGAGGGGCCAGGGAAAGGCTGTTTTGGAGCTCTTGGACTGCATTTTGGATTCCAGTTAATCAAGCAGAACTGTAACACATTCTCATGTGGCACTTGGTTACAGAACAGAATTCAGAAACTGCAAATCAGCAGCAAAAAGATTAATTTTTGTACCTTTCCAGAAATTAATGCTCACAGACAGGGGAAGAATAGTTTTGTTCTTCAGGCAGATTATGTTTTTCCCCAGGAGAACCAAATATTTAGAGATCAGTCTTCTTTTTGAAGCATACTGGCTCTATTGTAGGCACTTCAACACATCCTGAAAGTTAAAGAGGCTGTGAGCATTCATTACAACAAATTACATTTTTGATGTCAAAGATGATTAAGGAAAAAATAAAAACCCAATCAGAATCACGGCTGACACTCCCCTTTTAGCAGGTCAGTGGTGTAAATCCATCACTGTCACCTTGGCTCAGCAGAAAGGGTCCATGGCTGTGATTCACCCAGAAGAATGTGGGTGTTAAAACAACACTTGACTCTCCACCTCCCATGCTCACCAGCTTGGAGAAGTGGCATCTGTTTTTCAGCAGATACCACATTTGGAGCTGAGGTCACTGGTGACATTACTCACTCTCAATAACCACTCCAGTGTGGAGTGAACAACTACCTTGATTTTATTACACATCAGTAGCTTTGAGATCTCTTGGAATAAACGAGACAGCCTGCTGCTGCTCAAACCAATTTGTTTCACTAACAAAAAACTTGCAGGGATAACAAATTTTCCAGCAGAAACAGAACTTCACTATGAAGTTAATCAAACACCTGGCAATTCTACAGCAGAAATGACTAAACTACACAAAGGTGGAATTATCAAATACAGAGAGAAAAAGTCAGTTTTGAGGGAGTGGAGTCTCTCTTGCTGGGGATATTCCAGAACTGTCTGGATGCAAAAGGTTGGACCAGTGACCCCCTGTGGTCCTTTCCAACCTGACCCATCCTGGGACTCTGATTCTGAAAAAAGGCGTTTAGGGTCAGTAGAAATGCCGTCCCTGATTGTTTCCTTCTTGGTAAGAAACATGACTTCCCTGAGAAAGAGATGGGCTGCAGGTTGAAAAAGGCAAGACAACCATGACATATAGACAAGGGGTGGAAATAAAGAATAATACACCTTTCCAG